AAAATGAGACGGTCTAGGACCAGTGCCTTTTCTAGGTTATGGGCGTCACTTTAAGGACGTTCCAGTAATCAGTTTCCTGTTATTTCATGATCCGTTAACAGGACATTAAGACTACCTAAGGAAGCTCTTTGCACTGCACTTAAAACACCAGGGTCTTTTGTATTTCGTGCATAGTGCGTGCGCAGCTCTGTAGCTGCTTGACCTCGTTTTCGTCCAAGGTTTGTTTGATGACGTACATGACACCTTTGGAACCAAGCACGCAAGGAAGGCTGAGAAACACGTCTTCCTCAATTCCATGAAAACCCTAAATATATAAAAAAACAAATAGTTCAGGAAACAAGCAAAGCGCCATTACCATGAGTCACTATTGCTGGTTTTCAGGGTCACGCCATTCAAAATAGATCAAAATAAAAATCAAAACCTTTCGATAGATAAAGTCCAGAATCTGGGAAATGAAAGGACGTAAGTATACAAAGACCCTCGCCAAGATTTGGGTCGAAGGAATAATTCGTACACGAGATGTCCAAGGAAATGTTTTACCCAAATTTATAGAGCTTTGTATGGAGACGTCATGCTGGAGCTCATCCGGATGAGCTCCAACATGGCGGACGGAAACCAACAGAAACATCTGTTACCGAGTTTTGCTACAAAAGCGTGAATTTACTCGTAGAGGAACTCATAAACATTAAAGTAATACTTTTTCTAATACTTGAATTGTTTAGATGACAAAATTCCTCGAAAAAAGTCACCTTTTTAAACCTAAATGACAGCTCTCTCGGCCGTCACATAATTGCTGCGTCACGCAAAAGTTTAGAAATTCAAGCGTACTCTATTACATAACCAAGAAACCTTTTGCAGCGAAAATTTGTTTCAAAATTAGGATGAATAGTTTTGTAGTTTGAATTTTAGTGACGTCATGTCAAAACCAGCAATAGAAACGCTGAGGGGACTGGTGCCGAAATGTGTCTCGCAATCGTTTCAGGGGTCGTTACTTGGGACGCGATCAGGAGCGTAGAGGGAGGATGAGGCTTGCAGACTGGCAGATAAACCAGGTAAACATTGTCATGAAATGGCCTAACAGATTCCATATCCCTAAACTAGACTTTTAGAAGACTTAAAGTTTAAGGACAGTGAATCTGTTAAAGCATTTCACAACAATGTTTACCTGGTTTACTTGCCAGTCTACAAGTCTCACCTTCGCTCTACGCCCCGCCCCGTGGTAAATTACAGTCCTCCGCGCCGATTTTTTTCCCTTGTAACAGTTCCAGAAGTCTTTGCGGAAGTTAGCTCGACCCAGTTTCCGTAGAATAAAAGAACAAATTTTAACAACGTTAGCCAGCGTGTCTTTTCATCTTTTACCTGAACTTAGCTAAAGCGAAATGTGTCCGTCAGTTTTGATTTCATTTCCTTACAAAAAAATGAGTTAAAGCCGATGCCCTGGTACCGACCAGACGCGGACGATTTTGTAACTTGAAACGAGGTCACAAACAGGATTGCCGGTACCCTGCGAGTAGAGCCTTTCTTTTTGCCTGCTCGATCCGTGGGTGGGGTGGAGGGAGGGGAGATGATCGTGCCTATACCTACCTTGACAAGAGTAGAAATAGCGTGGACATTCTTCTGATTTCGGATGATCGTCTGGGTCATCTGAGCGACACTCAGTCCAATGGCCCAAGATGTGTAGCCTTTCAGTTTGATCATCTCGTAGGCACTTAACAAAAGAAGCACAAGTTGCTGACTGTTAAAAGGGAAGCCTTCACTCAAAAAAAAAACGTAGTAACTCATTGGTGAAAAAACGATTTTTCGAAGTGCCGAGATAAGCAATGCGACCATTACCTGTTGATGACTTTCTTGTGAATGTCTTCCCATTTTTCAGGATCGTCTTTTCCACCCATGCCTGGGTTAAGATCTTTCAAATTCACTCCTGCTATATTAACACCACTCCATACGGCAACTGCAAATGAAAAGTCAAACTGAGTTAAATTTACCAAAGCCAGCTAAGCTAGAAGCCTGACACTTAGTAATACTTCTTAACCGGAGCACTTTTCAACGGCGCAGGACGTGGTACATTTCATGCTGGATATTCTCAGAAGAGACCTCTGCATTAAAAAAAAAAATTGTAAATTGCTTTTTTACCCACGAAGCACTTGAGAGTTCATATGAACTCGTTTAAACGTGTCCGTGCGTTCCAGATCGAATTGGAATTTGAAAGTGTTGGTTTTTGAGGAGAGGGGAAAACCGGAGTACCCGGAGAAAAACCTCTCGGAGCAAGGGAGAGAACCAACAACAAACTCAACCCACATATGGCGTCGACGCCGGGATTTGAACCCGGGCCACATTGGTGCGAGGCGAGCGCTCTCACCACTGCGCCATCCTTGCTCCCCACCGTACCTCCCCCTTGCAGCAAACCGTTGCAACTCAGGCTGCTGGATAAATGAGTGAAATTCTTGCCTTAGTACAGCAATATCCCGCTTAACGGACACCCGCTCAACCCGGACACCCCGTTATTACGGACAGTTTTCCTTGTCCCTGGGAAAAACCCTCACATTTTCTCTTAATTCAACCCGCTTAATACGGACACTTTCCATGGTCCCCTCAGTGTCCTTATTAACGGGGTTTGGACTGTACTGTAAAAGCGTGTAGAAGTGGCGAAGAGAAAAAGGAAGGAAACCGTGTTTCTCTACTCCTGTTAGAAGGCAAAACATCTATACACTTTCCACACATTGAAAACTCTGTAACATTTTGAGGGAGCTGGGTTTCAGATGGAATAGAAACTAATACGTAGTAACTGAATCACAGAAAATAGCCTTCAAAGGCACGCCCATGAAGAATAACGGCTTGAATTTTATTAAAGGTCATTAATTAATTTAAACGCTACGGGAAACATACCACTGGCATCGCCATGTTCTCCGATGATCCAGCCGTGTACATTGGTTGGAGCGACATTCAGTTTTTCGCTGATCAGAAAATGAAACCGAGCAGTGTCCAAATTGGTTCCACTTCCGATCACACGCTCACGAGGAAGACCGCTGATTTTCCAAGCCACGTACGTCAAAATGTCAACTGTGTAATAAAAGATTTGTAAGAACCAAAGATTGCGTAAAGCTATGTGCAAACGGACGCAACAACTCCCAACATTGTTGGCCGTAGCTAAAAGTTTGACCGGTTTCAAACTTTGCGCAACAATTCCCAACAACACGCAAAAACATGCAACAACATGATGCACCAGGGTGTGCAAACGGTCGCATCATGTATGCTGCGTACCTTACGTTAGTGTCACAACATCTGACTTAGCGAGGCGGCGTTACGGGTTCTTTTATGAACAACAAAACATGTCAAAACGTATAAAGTATATCACATTTACACTGTACTAGAACCTCGTTCCTAGAATCCCCGATTGACCCCTGGGGAGAGGCTTTCTAGCCCCCCACGTAGACGTTCGTCACATGTTCCTTCCCCACGAACGTCTGTGGGGAAAGAAGGCGTGACAAAGCTCAAGAACGTCTGCGTGGGCGGCTACAGGATTACAGTCCAGAAGCTCCGTTCCAATGGCATATTGGACGAGCATGCTACTACCTCGTTCCTAGGGTAGGAGAGAGAACCTGGGAACGAGATTGGAGCATGGTATAGCCTGTGAACAGAGTCTCTTTTGGGGTGTAAGAAAAAGAGAAAGCTAGAAAGCGCAGGCCGAAAGGGAGGGAAAACTGGGGGCAGGGGGGAGGGAAGGAAAGAGGCTCTTGCGTCCTTCGCCGCATTACCCTAAAAACCTGTTTACAACTGCTGGCATCTCAACATTATTTTATTACCTGGATTAGATACAATCATCAGAATTGTGTTGGGGCTGTACTTTACCAATTGAGGGATAATCCCTACAAGAAAAATCACAATCACACTAAAGGTAAAATAACAAATTGATAGTTCGTTGTGCATATTTGTTTCCCGCGTGAATTTTCAGCGTATGCGAAACTACCAGGAACAATAACCAGCACATACTAATCTCTTTTGGCTCTTCCCTACAATATCAGAGCAACACGGAAAGCCTTTGTCTTTCAACAAAGGAAGCTTATTCCCCCGGAATCAATGAACGTTTTTCATTCAATTAATTTTATTCTTGTTTCCTATGTGAGCCTCTTGATACCTTGAGCTTTGATGGGTTGTGTTGGTTGCATGCCTTTGTTGTTCACTGATAAGAGTAGAGTTAAGACTATGTACAGCCACATTGATTAACCCTTCCATTCATCATTTTCTGAGGATAGAGTAGCTATCTTTAGTTCGCAAGGTCTTGGATGTGGACTACAGGCCATTCCATTTAATACCCACACCCCCCATTGATGAGAGTCTTTTTGCCTGACCCCTTCAGAAAATTATTTCTGGGGTTACCCGCTTCAGAAATTAACATTTATTCTTAGATACCCTCAGAAATAGTATTATTTTTGTTCTGTTCCCTTCAGAAAATATGGCCATGTTATTCTTCTCCTTCAGAAAAGAAGTTGTACACTAGCACGCCTATATTGATGATGTGGCTCTCCCTTCATCCCTTCAGAAATTTATTCCTTGGTATTTGCACCCTTCAGAAATTGACATTTCGGACAACAAGCCCTTTTGGAAAAACCACTCTCCTAGTAGCGACCCCTTCAGAAAATCTCACAAGCAATCCCTTCAGAGAATCTCGTGTATAGGGGGGAGGGGGGGATATAAAATGCAACGGCCCTAAATTAAGTCCCTTTATGACACGTATTGACCTCTTTATCTTTTGACACATTAAGACTATCTTGAGGCAGTCAACTATTCTGCAGACTGTCACATAACTTTCCCAAGTCTCCTTATTAAGCGGCCTTTTGAAAGGGAAGGGGGAGTGGAGGGGAAAGAAAATCATCTGCACAAGTGCACACAGGAATCCCAGGCCCCACATCCGAAACCATATTTTGGCTATATTATTATCTTACCCTTGAAGATGTTAACATTTCTCTGTACCAGGTCCCTTCTGCTTTCTCCTTCCTTCTGACGTGATCCAGCAGTCACAATGCACAAGTTGGAGTTAGCAGTTACAGCATAGTCTTAGAAAGTTAAAGGATTATTATAGTTTTAGATGCATTATTTGGTGCTGATTCAGGTGTTTAAAGGGCAACTTATTTGAAACTGTTACAGCCTACACTAGAAGAATGGATAAATTCCATCATAGTGACAGGATAAGCATCAAATATAATTTTAAGCATATATACCATTATTGTTCATTCTATACTTTGGTGTGGAAGTTGGAACTTATATAGTCAAGCTTTTAGAGTACTGGATGATTTAGAGCAACAATAATATATTTTAAAAACTTTACCAGTGCTGGCTTGAATGTCAACATGCTTCACAAATCGCTGACAGTGTTGCATGTCTAACAGCTCTCCCTGCAACTTGTCCTTTAACATGTCAACTAATGCTATTTCTCGGCATATTCCCTAATGAGAAGTTGTAAACAGAGGATCATTATGGTATACACTGGACATACACTTCTGACCATGAATAAAAGAGCTATAATGCTTTTGGCAAAATTTTATATAAGAGTGATAACTGGTGACCTATTGACAAGTCTTTCTTTTTTCAGGGGTGGAACAGGTTAACAATTATTTGTTCAGATGTTTTCTGAGGAGAGTGATCAAGTTGCTTGAAACAAATTACATACCCGCCCCTCCCTTTTACTCTCACAGCCTTGAGTTTAATTTTCACTTCTGATTAAAGACTGGCAAAGGCTTCTATTGTAGGTCACATTCCAGATGTCATGAGTACAGCTCATTGTTTTATCTGTAAGTACCTAGGCCAAACAGTTTCCCCTCAATCTAAAACAACATATTTTTGGCTGTTGATCAGGGCTAGGAGGTACTTTTGTCCCTGTTTATGATATCTGAATGCAGTATGGTGCCTTGATGCCTGATTTGTAGAGAGTTGAAAATACTGCAAATGTTGGCAAAAAATCAGTTCTGACAAGTGAACAGAGCCTTCTCAGGAGCCAATAAACCGAAGCAAGCAACTTCCATACTAGGCCTATGCCATGGCGTTTTTATAGACAAATCTATTTTTAGACACATTTCAGGGCACTTTTTTCCCACTCAAATAGAATTTCCACCACATCTATGAGCCCACTCGAAGTAAAGATAGAAAAGATATAAAAAAGGAAAACTAAACATTTATTAAAAGGCAAAAATTATCATTTTTAGGTCTGTAGGTTTTGCTGACTAGTTTGTGGAATTTAAAAGATATTCACAATTTGCGCAAAACCATTCTAAAAATAAACTGGTCCATGAAAATGTAGTGACCCAAGCACATGGAAGTTGCTCACTCCGGGTTATAAGCTCCTGGCCTTCTTTACCAATTGACACATGTTAAATACACTGTCATTACCTGCTGCATTATACTGTAAGCACAAGCCATCCCAACTTGTCCTACTCCAACAATAGTCACTTTCCTGACAGTTAAAGTTCCCTCTTCATCAAAAACTCTCTCCAGTAATTTTTCCTGTACAGTTGCCATGGCAGTAGCAGATCAGTGTTTATTTTTAACCTGGGCTGTATGAAATAAGTCTAGTTAATCTGATGGGCACTTTATATACCCTTCATAAATTAGTTATGGCGTGCAAAGAAAGTCGTGTCCGATAGCCTGGGGCTAATGGATTTTGCAATCGGGCTAGTGAACCCTGTTCTTAACTTGCCCAAAGGGCAAGTGTTTTTTTGGGGGAAATTCAAAATACAGAAGGACTGTAATCAATGCTACTCATCAAAAAATTTTGAGGGCTACTTTAAAGACACTTCGGCTCGTAGATACTAGCAACAACTTGCCCGAATGGCTAGCCGTAAAACCAACTTTCTTTGCACCCTGTGCTATTAAAAGTTTAAACGTCCAAATTAGATTTTCTTATCCGGATAAGTTTACTACTGTCCAGAAAAATGTCATTTCTTCACAGACATTATATCGCTTAAAGTGGCCCGCCTGCGTGCCAGTGTATCTTGATAAACACATGAACTGTCATAAACCTACCTGAGATGGTGTTTCAACGATTTAATATTGGATCTCACAGGCAGCTTTTCAGTAAAATAACGAACCAAAGCTTTTCGTTAAAATATAATCAAGATTCTTCAGTCTCCTGCATGCAGATTTATGAAACCCGGAAGAAATAAAATCAAACGCGGCAAACGTCTACAGGATTCCAGCGGCCTGAAAACGCAGCTGTCACGTTGACAGCTAGCTTTTGAAAGAAAACAAAACAGCTAGCCATTGTATTTGCTAACCCCTTTTCTGGGGGGCAAAGTCCCTTCTTTGGTCTGTACTTCACAACAACAAAAAACTGCTCTTATTCCGCGAATTTAAAATCCTTAACTAGATGTTTGTCACCGCATAAATTCCCTGCCGTTGTTTACAAGGAAGTGGGTACACTCAGAGAACAAATTATGTAATCAAGATTAAATTACTGCCTCCCACCAAAGTTTCTGTTAAGCCATGTATTGTTCAAGAAAACATTGAACATTGGAATTCGGCAGCACACTGTCAACCGCATGAAAACTGAACAAATTCAAAACTAAACACTGCTGAACAGAGAAAGCGAACATATGTTTACATTAGCAGCATCAACTGCTCAAAGTGACGGTGCTGTGTGGTAGCCATCAACTGTTTGACGCCAAGGCAACAAACTGAGAACACTGTATTTCCGACAATAAAATATGAACATCATACCTAATGTGTTTGTCCACCCCAAATGGATGTTGTATTTGAGATGGCGATGCTTTTAAAAAATGCAAATTCTAGCCGGCCGCCTTGAGGTCATCAAAGTTTGGCCTCAAATATAAAAATATGCACTCACCTGCGCTGTCACAGTTCAAGGGCGTGACAATTAGCTGCAAAAGTCATGCAATCCACAGGCTTCGATTTCTATTGCAGCTATAAGGGGAACGCTCAAAATCGGCGACTGTTTTGTGTGATAAAAATGTTCTTTTCTCATTGAAAATTATGTCTGGTTTCCGTGGTGTCTATTTTGAAGGGCGATGAGAGAAGAATTATTGGTTTCTCTTCAGCAACCGCGTAAGATCTGGTAACGAAGTGACAAAGTCAGCGGTAGCTCCCATGAGAAGCAGATGGTTGATGCAAGCAGAGCAAGCCAGGAAGTGAGGCGCTCACCGGTTTTTTTGCTGCATCGCATCGACTAGTCCTTGCAGCTTTATAGTGTTTTTCTTGTTTCTCCTTTGGTCCATTTCTCCCAACACTTGACAGCCTTTAGTGATATTTTAAAGTCATGCCTCCACAAGAAAACGAAACTGCAGATACTGCGACGAGCAGTCAAACCGAAAGCGATACGTCACCGCCGGCCAGCCCTAACTGGGCTGCGCTTAGAGTAAGTATGAAATATTTATTTTATAGTATCGTAAAATCAAACAAATGTGTCAAAATTACAAAGCTTAAGTTAACTGTTTACTCTACAGAACTATTCCGGTACTTTTTTTTACTGAATTTTGCCCGCAATTTCGATGGATGCGAAGAGGCGGCTTTGTTTCATTTAAACTTTTAAAACTTGGGTGATAACAATATTATTTTTCTTTGATATCTGCTGTCATTGAAATTCGACCAAATTATTTTGCTCTTTAATCAGCATTAACTTCACTTTGCAGGGACAAACTTGTCACGAACAAGCATGGTAATTTTTTTTTCGATTGCGTGATAACGTGATCGATCGTCGGTTGTTTCTTACGCGTACAATTGCACATAAAATCACTGTCTGTGTCATCATATTATCTGTTTTATGCAAACTTCAGCATTTCAAAGTGTCAGTTGTTACGAAAACTGATCGAATGCGAAGTTTGACATTAACTGTATATATTTTTTGTATTTTATAATGGAAAAAGTAATGACTTTTGGTGGTTTTAGTGCTGTATTCTTTTTCTCAAGTGTGCTATTTTATAAAAAATAATGACCTTGTTTTTTTTATCTAGCACTATAGTTCATGTTTCTGTTTTCGATTAGAGAGCTAAAGCTACTGAGACGCATAGTACTTATAATTGACAACAATTTACGAAAGTAAATCATGGGGAGTTTGCTTGTCAGAGTCCCACTAGGGAAATAAATTTATTAGTCTTTGTCTTTAACTCAGTTTTTCCCTATTGAACATATTGCCATTAAGCCAAATCATTAATTTTTTATAGTTCTAAGGAAACCCTATTTTAACAACTAAATTTAGCAGATCCTGAATAAACTTTGGGTCGACTGTAAGGCTGATTTCTAAAATGGGTTAATTTTTACAGGCATTGTGTTATTGTTACTGATAGTAAGCTATCATCGTAAAAGACTGTATAGTGGAAAGGTGTACTGCTACCAAGAGCAACCAATGAAAACCCCTGTATGTTAAGTGATGTTCCTGAATAAGCCACAAAGATAACATTATGGTGTATTGAAAATTGATTAATTTGGAAGAAGTACTTTGACTTTATTGAGGCTGACTTTTCCATCCCCCTTTTGCAAAAATTATTATCCTCTAAAATATTTTTTCTGTGCATCTAGTATTGAGACATGGAATGAAATATCTACTATTGGCCACATTTAATGGTCTTAATGGGATATTAGTTGAGGAAAAATATATATGATATTACCATCATCTATCACCTTTTATTGACTTCTTACGAGGTGACAGATTTAGTCCAGTTTGATTGGGTGTTCTTGTTAATCCTAAAATAAAATTAAGATACATTGTATTTTTTAAGTCTAATAGGCAATGCTCAATTTTGTATCACTCCTTCCAATCTCAAAAGAGAGGGCGGTTACTCAGAGAACAGCATAGTGCTTAACTACTCTACAGCCGGCTATGAAGCAGTTCTCTCTAAAAATTATTTTCGTGGTTTAACAAATGTATGTTGTATTAATTGCAGAGATATCTTTTGGACAACAAGATTGATTCAGCATTATGGCTCACAAGAGTATTTACCATCATAAGTGCAATTCTTTATTTGCTGCCATTCTTTAGGTATGCCTGTTTTCCTCTTGAATTTTAAAGTGACAGCAGAAAAAAATACCAGTATCATTTTCTGGCAAAATATTGAGTTTTATTAAATACATACAGTGATTGTACTGCTCAGTAGCTGTCAACTGAATTATCAACCCACATGTTATTTTTACAGCGTGAAAAACAGCGGTGCTGGAACTTTCATAAGAAACTGCACCTTAACACTCTTTAAATCACAGGCTTAAGACTCCCATTCACCAGTACTTTTTGATTTATTATAAACAAAGCAATGTTTGCATAAAAAAGAAAGGGTGGTATTACATTTTGACCTTGGAAAGTTGACTCAAAGTCAGAAGTCTTTTAAAAAATCTCATGTAAGCAAACTCCTTTGAAGTGTTTCTATTGACCTTTGATTTATTTATTTCCTATGATTATTGATGCTTTTTTCCTCTAGCCCCATGTTTAGCTATAACTGCTATAAGAGAGCTCTAATAAGTTCAGCGGCGACGTCAGCGTTAAGGTTGCACCAAAGGCTTCCAGTAAGTACATCAACGTTATCATCATCATCATTGCTTTATCATTATGTTTGCCATTTTCTTATGACTACAAAATTTTTCTTGTTGAACCTGGACAACCATGCAAAATGCCAAGATTTTGCACTTAAATGGTCATGTATAAGTATTATAGGTGATTAAACATGGATCCATATAATAATGCCTTGTTCCCAGCACCTATCTCTCGCTCACCTATTTGAGCCACCCAATTGTCGTGGATAAAATTGAATTTTGATCTTTTCTTTGCTTTTGTATGGAATTTAGTCCATTTTCCCCCAAAATTTGAATTTTTTAAAACATAGAACCATTTCTGGGCATTTTTGCATGTATTTTATCACTCTTTTTCGTCATCCCATTACACTTTCCTCATTACAGCCATCTTCTACTTGTACAACAGCCTTGTGCCTAAGTGACCATTATAGAGGTTTGATGATAAATATTTGAATCAAATCATAATAAATTTTGTTTTTTGGTCTGATCCTGTAACTATTTAAATTCAGCTTTTTAAGTAATCCTCTCAGACTTAGTTCTTTGTTTACAGTGTGTTTACATTATGTCATTTTCGTTTTCTTTGTTTATTTTCATTTATTTACAGAGATTCCAGTTTTCAAGGGAATATTTGGGATTGTTATTTGCTGAAGACAGCTGTCATTACCTTCTCTTCAGTGTTATGTTTATCAGCTCACATCCAGTTACAAGTATCCTTTTTATTTAATTCAGAAAAGAGATAAAGTTGAAAAAAGATGCTTGCAGCTAAGTTGTATTAATAATATTTGTCCTCCTTTTTAGGTCCAAGTGTGACTTTGGTTTAAACACATTTCCAGTTCACCACATAATGGGTACCTGGAAAAACACATCAGTTACTAGTAATAATCTTTTAGATTTTCCTTTCAAATTTTGTTGTGTTTTGATGGGGGAATCTGACATAACATAACAAACATGATGCCCAAATTTTCAGCCTGTCTCTGCTGTCTGGATGTCGGATGAAAGACTAGTGAAAGGATATAGCTTTTCAAAACTATTTGAAAGATTTTTGGCAATTAATATTAATGGATCCAAACCACCATCATAGAAAGGATTTCCTCTGTTTCTTTTCATGAAGTGTTGATGAGTTAAAAAACAGAAATATCAAGGGTAAGTTAAGCAACATGTTTCATGCAGCCCTTGAATTGGTTAGCTGAGACACTGACGTCTGACTGTTTTTATAAAATTTTACATTCTTATCTCAGTTTTTCCTTGACAACACATTTCTTCTGCAGTTATCTTAATTCCTGTTGCATTGTTTGCTCTTCTCCATACTGTGTCATTTACTAAAAAGTTACTAGATGTAAGTGGATTTACCATTTACCCTATAAATTCAGAGAGACAGAACTCATCACTCTTGATTCTTCTGGAAGATTTTTCCTAGCCTGTTCCAAGCCTGAAGATATCAGGGAAGGCAAATTAAGAATACTAGAGTAAAAGTTATGTGGTGGCTGAAGAGAGACGATGCTTGCTCGCTTTTTCACCACTCATTTGCTTTTTTGCTCGTCTTCACCGACTGAATTATGCAATACAATGACCCACACTTAACTCTTTTGTTGAGAATGTTTTCCTACCACTTCCCCTATAAGGATGCTTTGGGGACAAGAAGGAGAATTTGGGAATTTAAGAGAAAAAAAAAACCTTTCTAGAGTTTGCAGTAAAGAAGAGTGGTTGCAAGATCTTCCCTTTTAGTAATATAAGTTATTTTTACATTATATAATTTTTTTACTTTAATAGATTCTTGGAAGTGGTGGTATGCTAAACATGTCACTTGTGAGGTAAAGACTCCTTTTTGTGTTTAAATTTAGTGTCCTTAATTTGGCCAATCAGGTTCAATTTTCCTTCTTTCATTGACCAGTCCTCAAAGATAGAGTCAATACTCAAAGAATTACTGGAGAGGCGTCAGTTTAAGAGAAGTGTCCATTATCAGAGATCATCATTTCACAAGACTGGGGCAAAGAAACAAATCTGAGTTCTAAATCTCACAAGTCCAGCTGGGTGCTCTGTGCTCTGACCACTGAGCTATGGAAGAGCTTTGCATCATTCTTGTTATTTTTGTCTGTAGGTCAGCTCAAACAGCTATTCAGAAAGTACAGACGCATCAGCAAGGACTTCTGAGGTTCATTGCCTGTACAGAGATCATGTTAATGCCTGCTGTTGTTTTAATGATGTTGAGGTAGGTATGTCATTGTTTGAAGAAGCTCTGCTGGGGTAAAATTCCAGCAGGCGACATGACCTTGAAATAGGACGTAAGACTAGATGAAATGGCAAATATAAATGACATAAAGGTAAATTGAATACCGACAGGGACATGGCCTAACTCCTCAAAAGTGAAATGACCATTTTTGACATTCATACAAGGGACATATGTACCAACCCCCGCCCCCCCCCCCAACCACACAAGGGGGCCCCTTTTAAGCACTTGCCACTGGCTGGTCTGTGGTGTTACAGCTGTTAAGTCAAGTCATTCAATTGCGTATTTTTAACAAATTTTGATTGCTATGAAAGTTTATGGTGCTGCTGCTATGTTTGTTATTCTAAATAGTGATGAAATTTGATGAAGAAGACTACGGATCAATCTAGGTTTCTGGGAAACTGCCTACCTAACCCTCCCCTAAGCCAACATTTTGCCCTAAGTCAGAAGTAAGTGATAATGCTGGCTTAGGGGAGGGGTAGGTGGGCAGCTTCCCAGTTTTCCTACTTCTTTTTTTTCGTTTCAGTGGTCAAGTTGGCATTATCATTCCATTTGTTTACTATCGATTTCTTGGACTCAGATATGCGTCCAGACGAAACCCTTACACCAGGTTTGTAGATGACATGAAATAGAGTAATAATGCAAGTGTTGTTTACAGGGGCCCATTAAATGTATTATCCAATCAGATTACAGGAAATGTTTAAAATGGCCTGGAAGTCACTGTAGTAAACCCTATAATAACATTGCTTGCCATTAGTTAGCAATTATGTGCATACAGTTTTGATCATTCAGACTCGAGTTAAAAAAGCTGTTGATTTTTTCTGCAGGCATCTATTTGGTGAACTAAGGCAATCGGTTCAACAGCTTGTAAGTCATCCTCGCTGTCCTGGTTTCTTACATTCGCTGGTGTTCAGAGTCACTGCCTTCATTGCAAATCTGGCTCCTCCAGTGATGACGGCACCACCACCTCAGGCTTCTTCATAATCTTTGAAAATAATATAATACATGTATTATGGAATAAGCTGTTCCTTAAATATTCATCAACTAAGTTAAGGATGCTTTCAATTATTAGTCAGAAGTGGCTGGTCAGGTCAGCCAGTCACTATTTTTTAGGACTGTCCAGCACCAGATCAGTCTATTTCTAAAAAAGTAGGCAGGTCAGTAATTTCTTTTTGTCTGGCCAGTCAGTCTGACTATTGAAGCTTCCTAACTGATAAAATCATTGAAAAATAAGAAGGCATTATGCACTTGCCTTGATTTTGCAGGTTGTAAATGATGTAGTACAATACTTGGTTGCATTTTTTTACATTTTGTGTACACTGTAAATGGCCTGCCGAATGGTTAATATGGAAGTTACTCTCCAAATTATTGTCAATGTTGTGGTTAGTGTTATCCTTAAATCAAATTGTTCTTCCCTTGTTTGAAAGTCATCATTGGTATTATAAGTAACTTTGCCCAAAGAGAAAGGGAAATAATATTCGAGTCAAGGATAAAATTGAACCACCACGTCCACAAAAATTGTCCAACAGTGTCAGAGTTTTAAGATAGGAACATTGTCGTAAACAGCATTTTTAGTTCATAGTGTTGAAATGAATGCTATGTCTTTTGTTCTTGTAAACATTCTGAGTAAACTAATAAATAATTTATTTATCAGTCCAAATCATTAGCAATGTCCTAACCCATGTTAATGCTACCACCCAATGTAAAGCATCTCTACAGTACTGGGTAGGAGAATAATTTTCACCCAGGAAGTTTCAGCCTGCTAAAGGATCTTTGTGGATAACATTTTATTTGGTTTTTACCCTTTCTCCAGCTGTGTTTTATTTGAAATGACAAATGTAGTTGTTATTATTTATACATGCTGTATTTGAAAGTTTCATTAAATAGAAAACAGATTTGAAAACATTTTCCTTATTTTGAGATCTCTAAAACAGGTTGTGTAAATTTTTTTCCATATTATGGTAATGAATTCTTTAGCCTGTGTGGCTGGCGGTTTTTTGGGTGAGATTTTCATTTGTAGATCATATTTATACAGCCCCGCAAGGTCAAAAAAAAAAAAAAACGATGCCTTATCTCCTTGCCCCTCCCCCGCCCCCCATTTTTTTTCTGGTTCGACCTCAGTTCAGCTTTCGTGTGGTTTATCTCTTACTTTATGAACCACAAAAGAAAAAACAAACAAAAAAAAAACCCACCAGCTATGCAGGCTATGAACTCTAAGACAAAAGTAAAACTTAAACTTGTAATGAGAATTTCAAGCTAAATGAAGCTTTAGGCAGACCATAGCTTGCACCATTGTTTTGTTTTTCTTTTTGCTGTAAGAGTACTTATTCTTTAAGTGTTTTGTATTAAATTCATTTTTAACCTCAACCTCACCCAAACTTGATTCTCCTGACTGGATTTTGGAGTTTTTAAGGTGGAACTCACTGACCCAGAGAGTAAGGGGTGATCACTGTTTAAAAACCCCTATCTTTTCATTGGCAAGTTCAACAAACCTGTTAGAAACAATACCAACACAGCTCAGTGGAGGGAATAAAGGTAATAAATAAATAAGGTTTAATATGTGGAGGTTACTGTGGGTGACAAAATGACTTGAAGATTTCCTATGCAACACAACAGTACAAAAGGACTGCCAATCACTTTGCTGTAATCTGTGGAAAATGAATGACCACTGTCTTGTAGTTATCCATAATCCCAACATTTGGAAAAATAACTATGTTTTGCAAATAAAATATTACCCAGCTGACATATTTTTCCATTATAGACAAGAATATATTTTTTAAAAAGATTGTTCNGATCACTGTTTAAAAACCCCTATCTTTTCATTGGCAAGTTCAACAAACCTGTTAGAAACAATACCAACACAGCTCAGTGGAGGGAATAAAGGTAATAAATAAATAAGGTTTAATATGTGGAGGTTACTGTGGGTGACAAAATGACTTGAAGATTTCCTATGCAACACAACAGTACAAAAGGACTGCCAATCACTTTGCTGTAATCTGTGGAAAATGAATGACCACTGTCTTGTAGTTATCCATAATCCCAACATTTGGAAAAATAACTATGTTTTGCAAATAAAATATTACCCAGCTGACATATTTTTCCATTATAGACAAGAATATATTTTTTAAAAAGATTGTTCTGACTTTATTTCATCAGTCTTTATTGTCTTAAAAGGAAACAACATTGCTTTGTAACAAAGCAGCAAAACCAACAAGAACTTTAATAAGCTAGTTAAACACTATTACTTGGTGGTCTTCCAAAAATATATATAAATTTATCAAACTTTTTAAAAGGCAGTTTCTGCTTGGTTGCTGTCCCTGCATCTCCTCTCCAGACTGTGCTAATCAAGAGAAAACCTGTTTTTACTCATGACAAAATTGACAGTGATTTGATTGTCTCTAAGTGAGAGCACTTTTGGAAAGAACAACAGTACTGCTTTAACTATGTACAGTTGTCAGTATGATATGAACCTGACAAGTAAACAATGAACATCATGTGGAAAGACGTGCAAATGCCAGCGTACTTGTAAGAATCATTCTTGTATGAATTTTGACGTGGACTATGCTGATGTGGGCTGCTAACATGTAACACAAATAGTTCCTTTTCTTTGAAGCTCAGGTAAAAAAGAAGGAACAACAGTATTTCTCTTTTTTTCTCCTTTGTCCTCCCCATCAAATAAGTTCCCAGCCACAACAACAAACTAGAATTCATCTTGTGTGGAGGTATGAGGATGCTTAAACTTTGTTTTGGAATTACCCTATGAACAGATCAGAGAGCCTCTGTTTGAAGGGTATTATGAAATGAGAGTAGATGGAAATTAGAAGGCACAGAGATTGTCCTATTTGATAAGTGTTAAGTGAAGTTATTTGCCAGGAACAGACAACTAGCACAAGATGCAACTTCTTTCAAGAGAGTTGACCAAAATTTTTATTCCAAGTGTAAGTTTTATCAAATCTTGACTTTGAAAACAACTGGCCTTGCAGCCTGTGAGGTACTCTGAGTCCTGGCACTCATGGTAGATTGGATGGGTGCTCTGTGATTTGCCCCTGCAGAGACACTACTTGGCAGCGGCTTGAGAGTTGATTTTGCCAGGGGTCGAAGAGGAGCAAGTGGAGCATATCTGGCAGGAGGAGGGGAATATAAAGATGCTGACGGTAATGTGTCTAACTTGCACTCCATGGGTTGGCCATCAAGTTTGCGGTTATGATATTTCCTAATCGCCAACAGTGCATCATTTTTCTGTGCATACACTACTTCGGCACATCCCCTACCAAGCATTTTACAGCTCCTCAATCCACCAACTACACCAAATAGTTCCTCAACATCTTGTTGAGTAACTGCTGGATGCAGATTGGATACTGTTACCCTTGTGCTTGATGTAACTACTTCCTCTTTTCCAGGCAATGAGGTTTTTCCGCTCTGTGAAGTGTTTGCCTGCAAACTATGATCCAAATTTCCTTCATAAACTCCGTCTCCAAAACTACCTCTGTGTAGCTGAGATACATTTGATGCATAGATGACGCTCTCTTCAGCTATTTGACTATACAGTGCATGTTCGGCTTCTTTTTGCTTTCTTTTAGCATCTCTCTCTCGCTCTCTTTTATAAGCTTCGTTTTGTCTCGCGCGTTTTCTCGTCTCGTGATCTTTTTCTTTCCGCTGTGCATCTTCGTTTTTCGCCGTAATGGTAAGAAATCCTGCAATCACATTTGCCTGTCGATCCATGTCCTCTTTACGTCTCTCGACCTTTGCTGTAATGCGGATGGAATCTCCCATCATCGTGGCCATGCGATCAGGAGGTACCTCCTGTCGAGCAGTAACTTGAATATTACCACCAGCAGAAAGTGTCAGTGACCGATTTTGTTGGTGTAACTTTTGCCTTTGTTCCTTTCTACGCTCCTCGAGCAAAGAAATTGACCGTACAAGAGGCTTACTCTGGCTTTTCTTCGTAGCGATTTTTTGTCTTGCATCAACCATATTTCCTCCCTGCGTCTTTCTGCTGTTTCTTGGACCTTGGTTCGTCACCTTCTTTGTTTGAGATAGATTTGTCCGCAAATCTCTCGTTCTTTTCGGATTTTTTAACCCCCCAGTTCCTACGCCAACTTTTCTCCCACTCTGTAACGTTTTACCGTTACGACTTTTCTTACTATACATGCTGAAACTTACGACTCCCCAGCCGATACGATGATATTTTGACGATTCTGTTCTTCAGAACACGAGAGAAAAAAACGCGCAGAGAATATAAAAGAAGTTTCTATTGGCTAATTTTGACCAATAAGATGCTGTCTTAAAATGCTGTCCCCTTCGTTGTGCCCGCAAGCAAATTCCTAGCGGATTTGTTGAGAGTGCTACCGTCATGTAAGCTACAATTGTTTACGAATATGAAAGAGTCATAGGCTATTTCTAGTAACAAGAAATGAAAGCTTTCTTTGATCTGTTTATTTTTCAACCAGTGCTTGCTGTAAGAGCATCATGACGGATCTACTGACTCTACTGGCAAACAGAACAAATACACATTGTCCTCCACTCACCGTACCAACCGTCAAAGATGACGTGGTGGGATGCTCGTACACAAATTGGGCATACGCTGTGTTTGCAGCAGTTGCGTTAATTATTGCGGCAATACCATTTGTTGCCTTTATTTGCTACGTGCAGAGGCGAGTGAAGAATAAACATCGAGCAAGAGCTCTTGCACGCAGTACCAGTTATGAGAGCTCTGGTGCATATCCATACCAGGTTGGTTTAATAACATTACAACCTTGTGTAGAGCACTTCCTGCATTGATTTTAAAGAGCAGTCGGTANCTTTGATCTGTTTATTTTTCAACCAGTGCTTGCTGTAAGAGCATCATGACGGATCTACTGACTCTACTGGCAAACAGAACAAATACACATTGTCCTCCACTCACCGTACCAACCGTCAAAGATGACGTGGTGGGATGCTCGTACACAAATTGGGCATACGCTGTGTTTGCAGCAGTTGCGTTAATTATTGCGGCAATACCATTTGTTGCCTTTATTTGCTACGTGCAGAGGCGAGTGAAGAATAAACATCGAGCAAGAGCTCTTGCACGCAGTACCAGTTATGAGAGCTCTGGTGCATATCCATACCAGGTTGGTTTAATAACATTACAACCTTGTGTAGAGCACTTCCTGCATTGATTTTAAAGAGCAGTCGGTATTTATGTTCAAGAAGAGATTCATCAGTGCTAGTTGCATCAAAAGTAAAAACCTCCAGCCCTTCTATAGCTTCTTGATTCCAAGGGGAAGTGGGGTGCTGTCAGCGGTACATCTTTGTGCCTGAGTTAAAAGATACAGCCCTTTCCTTAAAAAAATACCATAGTACTCTTAAAAGTTAAGCTTTTAGCCTTGTAGTCAGGAAAAGTCATGCTCCAGGTTTTCTTTTTAATTGACGGAAACTAAATGGCCATTTAACAGCTCGCCGTAAATTTGCATAATTATTACAACAGGAGGGGAAAGAAGTGTTGTCAAGTGGCCAGTACATCAGACTCACAATCCTGGGGTCCCAAGTTCAAGTTCCACTTCAACCTGCTAGCTGGATTTCTTCTTGCTTATCCCAAGTTTAAAATCACTGTGCGACAAATGCAGACTGCAGACTGGCAGATAAACGAAGTAAACATTGTTGTAGAATGCTCTAACAGATTCCCTAAACTAAACTTTTAAATGACTTAAACTTTAGGGATAGGGACTCTGTTAAAGCATTCCACAACAAAGTTTTCCTCGTTTACCTGCCAGTCTACAAGTCTGCAGTCTGCGTTTGTCGCACATCGGCTTAAAATGTCATGCTTGTCATGCTTGTAAATGGCCAACTGGTTGTCTCCTGTCAGTTTTGATTCTTTACCTTGTTATTTTGACCAAAAGTTGATCTAGTCATGGATTAATCAACAGTTTATTTTACTCCACTTTGTCTCTCTTCACCCAGGTTTACAAATGGGTACTTGGGACATACTGCTGGGGGGTAACCCTGTGATGGATTAGCATCCCGTCCAGGGGGAGAGTAGCAATACTCCTAGCTATGCTTCATACTAAGGAAACTGGGATAAGCTCCAGCCGTTTGGGCCTTTGGCTTGTATGCACCTTTACTTTACCTTACCTTACTTTTTTTTTCAGCCTCTACATGGTGGTGGGCAAGGTAGACTTGCCAATTATGGAGCTATAGACAGTGGTACAGAGGAGCAACAAGCTTTAAGATGTGAGTGACACGTAGTGAAGTGAATGCTGAGATTATCATATTTACAACATTTTTTTAGTTAAAGGAGTAAAACTGCTATTCACAAACAGTGTACGGTCAGATGCTGGTTACTAAAAACAGCCACAAGATTTAGTAATAGATAATTACAGGGCTTTCAATGAACATTAATATTATACTAGGTGATACCATATGGTGATACCAGAGCAAAAATCAGTGCTCAATTTTGGTGAGTTCAAAACTGAAATAATGTAATGATAACATTTGAATGAGCCCCATAACTTTTCATTCAAGACATAGTGTCTCAGTAAATACTTAAAAGAAAATGCAAAGCATAATAATAATTAAGTAAACTATGCAATTTGTAGTGACAATAAGGTTTGTATGTGTGCCTTATGTAAAGAATACATGATCTATACACAGACAAAATGCCCTTTTTGTTTTAAAAGCCAATTTCTTTGCTTTGTATCTTTTTTTTGTTTTCAGCACCAAGCCATGCTTCCACAGCAAGTCTGAGTGACAGACAAAGCCATCAAAAGGACACTACAAGTGTGGCATCAAGTCGGGCAAGCATCATTCCTACCTACGATGATGTTTCTTTGAATCAGCGTAATGCAGCAGCAAATAAAGCTGAGAGGAATGGAGTTAATCAGTCTACTGGGCCACCACGGAGGTCATCAAGGTCGTCACGCTTGTCACTTGATAGTCAGGAAAAATCTGTAGATCAGGGAGGACAGTTTTATGACTCTGTTGATGTCGTGACAAATATCCCAAAACCCCAGAAACAGGCTGGACCTAAAGATATGCCACCAGCTAAACCACCCAGGCTGCAAGTGCTGTACGATGCAAACTCTGGTACACCCGAAAATCATGTGTACGATGACGTGGAACAGTCTGAACTGGAAGGTAACGAACAACATAACACTCAGCCATCATTAACTGATACATCAGCAGTAGGTGGGCTCAGTGCCGAACATGAGGATGCTGAACAAGCTGACACTGATGATATTCTAGGAAATGATAATAATATGCACACTGAATCACCAGAGTATGCCACTTTGGAACCTTTACCAGACACATCACCTAATGATAGTTACCCTACTAATAATTACGCATCTAAAGGTGATCAAGAAAACCTATCAATAAGAGAACAGAAACAATGTTTACTGTCAGATGATAAACAGCCAACCGCTGACACAAAGGGCAGCCCTGTTTTGCAAAACAAATATCTTACAGTGCTTCCTCCTACTCCACCCAAAAAGAATGGAAGTTTGGATGAAAATGCAGGCTTGCTTCAGTCCAATGAAGACTTTGATCAGATGAGTGTGAGTCCACCAGATAAATCAGTTGCCAAGTCAAGATCTGTAAGTTTGTCTTTTTTTTACATTTATATTTACATGTGTTGGGTCGGTCAAATCATTAAGATATCACACCAACCGTAAAAATAAAAACAAAGAAATAAATGAATAAAATACAGATATATCAAGATATAAAATAATGATATAAAAGTTACTATCATTTAAGAAAAGCTGATAACCTATATTTAAAAGTTTCTAAGGAGGCTGATGAAACAATGGCCCCACGGAGGCAATTCCAGTCCACTATAGTTTTTGGTAAAAACAAAAATTTAAAATGTCTTTATTTGCATATCGCACGCAAAATTTAAATTGATGGNAACAACATAACACTCAGCCATCATTAACTGATACATCAGCAGTAGATGGGCTCAGTGCCGAACATGAGGATGCTGAACAAGCTGACACTGATGATATTCTAGGAAATGATAATAATATGCACACTGAATCACCAGAGTATGCCACTTTGGAACCTTTACCAGACACATCACCTAATGATAGTTACCCTACTAATAATTACGCATCTAAAGGTGATCAAGAAAACCTATCAATAAGAGAACAGAAACAATGTTTACTGTCAGATGATAAACAGCCAACCGCTGACACAAAGGGCAGCCCTGTTTTGCAAAACAAATATCTTACAGTGCTTCCTCCTACTCCACCCAAAAAGAATGGAAGTTTGGATGAAAATGCAGGCTTGCTTCAGTCCAATGAAGACTTTGATCAGATGAGTGTGAGTCCACCAGATAAATCAGTTGCCAAGTCAAGATCTGTAAGTTTGTCTTTTTTTTACATTTATATTTACATGTGTTGGGTCGGTCAAATCATTAAGATATCACACCAACCGTAAAAATAAAAACAAAGAAATAAATGAATAAAATACAGATATATCAAGATATAAAATAATGATATAAAAGTTACTATCATTTAAGAAAAGCTGATAACCTATATTTAAAAGTTTCTAAGGAGGCTGATGAAACAATGGCCCCATGGAGGCAATTCCAGTCCACTATAGTTTTTGGTAAAAACGAAAATTTAAAATGTCTTTATTTGCATATCGCACGCAAAATTTAAATTGATGGCTTCCCCTCGTGCGACTCTCAGAGTGTTAAATTAAATATTTTTTGGCTATCTATATCAATAAGACCATGAGTTACTTTATACGTAAGTGTTAACCTAGTCTGCCTTCTTCTCATTTCCAGTGTGGCCCACCCTAAGTCTTTAATCATGTCCGTAACACTAACATATCTATTATAATTCTGTGAGCAGAACCGTGCTGCTTTACCTTGAACCCATTCCAGGGCACTCATATCTTTCTTTAAAAATGGGTCCCAAGGTGCAGTTGCATAATCCAGCTTCAGTCATATTAGGATTGTGTATGCACCTTCTTTCACATTCTTTGGACAATTCCAAAGGTTACATTGGTTGTGTTTAAAGAGTAAATCCCTCTGACCCTGTCTTATTCTTCACTTGACTTAACACTTATAGTCTGTGGGGTTGTCAAAATGCGCCGGCCACTCTCGCTATCACCGGCTACTTTAAGGTTTTTGCCGCCTGTAAGCTGGGAAACACATATCCCTTCTGATATGCATTCCCCTACCTGGGAAACACATATCCCTAGTGAAATGTGTTCCCCCACCTAGGAAACACATATCCCTAGTGATATGTGTTCTCCTACCTGGGAAACACATATACCTAGTGATAAGTGTTTCCCCACCTGGGAAACATATATCCCTAGTAATATGTGTTCCCCTACCTGGGAAACACATATCCCTAGTGATATGTGTTCCCCCACCTGGGAAACCCGTATCCCTAGCGATATGTGTTCCCCTACCTGGGAAACACATTTCCCTAGTGATAAGTGTTTCCCCACCTGGGAAACATGTATTCCTAGTAATATGTGTTCCCCTACCTGGGAAACACATATCCCTAGTGAGATGTGTTCCCCCACCTGGGAAACACGTATCCCTAGTGATATGTGTTCCCCCACCTGGGAAACACATATCCCTAGTGATATGTGTTCCCCCACCTGGGAAACACGTATCCCTAGTGATATGTGTTCCCCCACCTGGAACACACCTATCCCTAGTGATACGTGTTCCCCCACCTGGGAAACACGTATCCTTAGTGATATGTGTTCCCCCACCTGGGAAACATGTATCCCTAGTGATATGTGTTTCCCCACCTGGAAAACACGTATCCCTAGTGATATGTGTTCCCCCACCTGGGAAACACGTATCCCTAGAGATATGTGTTCCCCTACCTGGGAAACACATATCCCTAGTGATATGTGTTCCCCCACCTGGGAAACCCGTATCCCTAGCTCGAGTGAAGAATAAACATCGAGCAAGAGCTCTTGCACGCAGTACCAGTTATGAGAGCTCTGGTGCATATCCATACCAGGTTGGTTTAATAACATTACAACCTTGTGTAGAGCACTTCCTGCATTGATTTTATGTTCAAGAAGAGATTCATCAGTGCCAGTTGCATCAAAAGTAAAAACCTCCAGCCCAGCTATAGCTTCTTGATTCCAAGGGGGAGTGGGGTGCTGTCAGCTGTACATCTTTGATACAGCCTTTTCCTTAAAAAAATACCATAGTATTCTTAAAAGTTAAGCTTTTAGCCTTGTAGTCAGGAAAAGTCATGCTCCAGGTTTTCTTTTCAATTGACGGAAGCTAAATGGCCATAATTTTAACAGCTCGCCGTAAATTTGTATAATGATTACAACAAGAGAGGAAAGAAGTGTGGTCAAGTGGCCAGTGCATCAGACTCACAATCCTGGGGCCCCAAGTTCACGTTCCACTTCAACCTGCTAGCTGGATTTCTTCTTGCTTATCCCAAGTTTAAAATCCCTTGTCATGCTTGTAAATGGCCGACTGGTTGTCTCTTGTCAGTTGTGATTCTTAACCTTGTTATTTTGACCAAAAGTTGATTTAGTCATGGATTAATCAACAGTTTATTTTACTCCACTTTGTCTCTCTTCACCCAGGTTTGCAAATGGGTACCAGGGACATACTACTGGGGGGCAACCCTGTGATGGATTAGCATCCTGTCCATGGGGGAGTAGCAATACTCCTAGGTATGCTTCACACTAAGGAAACCGGGATAAGCTCCAGCCATTTGGGCCTGTGGCTTGTATGCACCTTTACCTTACCTTACCTTTTTTTTTTCAGCCTCTTCATGGGGGTGGCCAAGGTAGACTTGCCAATTATGGAGCCATAGACAGTGGTACAGAGGAGCAACAAGCTTTAAGATGTGAGTGACACGTGGTGAAGTGAATGCTGAGATTATCATATTTACAACATTTTTTTAGTTAAAGGAGTTAAACTGCTATTCACAAACAGTGTACTGTCAGATCCTGGTTACTAAAAACAGCCACAAGATTTAGTAATAGATAATTACAGGGCTTTCAAAGAACATTAATATTACACTAGGTGATACCATATGGTGATACCAGAGCACAAATCAGTGCTCAATTTTGGAGAGTTCAAAACTGAAATAATGTGATGATAATATTTGAATAAGCGCTATAACGTTTCATTCATAGTGTCTCAGTAAATACTTGAAAGAAAATGCAAAGCATAATAATAATTAAGAAAACTATGCAATTTGTAGTGACTGTAAGATTTGCATGTGTGCCTTATGTAAAGAATACATGATCTATACACAGACAAAATGCCCTTTTTGTTTTAAAAGCCAATTTCTTTGCCTTGTTTGTTTTGTTTTGTTTTTTGTTTCCAGCACCAAGCCATGCTTCCACAGCAAGTTTGAGTGACAGACAAAGCCATCAAAAGGACACTACAAGTGTGGCATCAAGTCGGGCAAGCATCATTCCTACCTACGATGATGTTTCTTTGAATCAACGTAATGCAGCAGCAAATAAAGCTGAGAGGAATGGAGTTAATCAGTCTACTGGGCCACCACGGAGGTCATCAAGGTCATCACGCTTGTCACTCGATAGTCAGGAAAAATCTGTAGATCAGGGAGGACAGTTTTATGACTCTGTTGATGTTGTGACAAATATCCCAAAACCCCAGAAACAGGCTGGACCTAAAGATATGCCACCGGCTAAACCACCCAGGCTGCAAGTGTTGTACGATGCAAACTCTGGTACACCCGAAAATCATGTGTACGATGACGTGGAACAGTCTGAAGTGGAAGGTAACAAACAACATAACACTCAGCCATCATTAACTGATACATCAGCAGTAGATGGGCTCAGTGCCGAACATGAGGATGCTGAACAAGCTGACACTGATGATATTCTAGGAAATGATAATAATATGCACACTGGATCACCAGAGTATGCCACTTTGGAACCTTTACCAGACACATCACCTAATGATAGTTACCCTACTAATAATTACGCATCTAAAGGTGATCAAGAAAACCTATCAATAAGAGAACAGAAACAATGTTTACTGTCAGATGATAAACAGCCAACCGCTGACACAGAGGGCAGCCCTGTTTTGCAAAACAAATATCTTACAGTGCTTCCTCCTACTCCACCCAAAAAGAATGGAAGTTTGGATGAAAATGCAGGCTTGCTTCAGTCCAATGAAGACTTTGATCAGATGAGTGTGAGTCCACCAGATAAATCAGTTGCCAAGTCAAGATCTGTAAGTTTGTCTTTTTTTTACATTTATATTTACATGTGTTGGGTCGGTCAAATCATTAAGATATCACACCAACCGTAAAAATAAAAACAAAGAAATAAATGAATAAAATACAGATATATCAAGATATAAAATAATGATATAAAAGTTACTATCATTTAAGAAAAGCTGATAACCTATATTTAAAAGTTTCTAAGGAGGCTGATGAAACAATGGCCCCATGGAGGCAATTCCAGTCCACTATAGTTTTTGGTAAAAACGAAAATTTAAAATGTCTTTATTTGCATATCGCACGCAAAATTTAAATTGATGGCTTCCCCTCGTGCGACTCTCAGAGTGTTAAATTAAATATTTTTTGGCTATCTATATCAATAAGACCATGAGTTACTTTAT